ACACTACATTTTCACAATGAAGCTTGAAACCAGTCAAGCACATTTTTATTTAAAAAAGAAAAAGAACAGTCTAATGGTATATAGTCTATACATGCTACGGCTAATTGTCCCCCCCCCCACACACACTGTATATACTCATGTGTATTTTTGTGTTAAAAGGAAACAAAAACCACCACCAGAATTTGTCAGTTTGCCGCGAGGGTGTGAGAAGTGCCAAGACATCCAGGGATCCCCAGCGCCATTCTAGGAGCGGGCCATGAGGTGGTGGGACACTGTTCCTGGAGGGATGCGAGACATGGCCTCGTTATTTGGTGGCTCCCTGAAGCAGGAAAGCGGGTTGTAGTTATGGTGGCCATAGTTTATCACCACCCCTTGGAAAAGAGAAAGGGGCGCTATTAATGACACTGGAACAAAGGCATGAACAGGCAACCGTGGGTGAAATACGGACCCCTTAGTTGTTAGAAGTACTTATTGCTGTCAGAAGCCTGGCGGGGCACCTTCTTACATTGATGAAGATCTGAGAGCTAAGGCTACCGGCTGTGGCACTCTGTTTGGCCTTGTCAAGGTCAACAGAGGCTTAGCCCTGGTCCCTAATTGGAGCTAAGGCCGACTTTGGAGTAGATGACAGAAACAGGAAAGGTGGAATGTCTGCACATGATGAAGGGGGCTCGATAACTTGGCAGGGTAGCACCGGAAGCCAAACATCACCCTGCAAAGCTGTAGGGTCGTCTGCAGAAAGGATCCTCAGCAGGTGGAGCCTTCCTGATTTTAACCCCACAGCTCTGCAACATTCATGGCTCTGTGGCAGCTATGGCCAGTCTAGACATCAGGACCTTACCCGTTACAAGCAACTCCTACAGGCCAAGGGTGTGCGCCCTGCACCCTCAGTCCCCCCATGCAGGCACATATCCTACGCATCCAGGCCACACAGTCTGATGCTAGGTAATCTTTGGTGTATGGTATGACTGGCTGTTTGCAGCTGACACAAAAGCCCTGAAGGAATGGGATGGAAAACCAGCTGGGAGGACAAGACTGCCTAGCATGGTGGCTCAGGCTGTTATGTGCCCACTTTCAGAGTCCAAAGCAAAGGGCAAGACCCCCCAGGGGGCAGCCTGACCCAACACCCATGCCAAGCCACAAATGTTCTGGTTCTTGATGATGTCAAGTTGCCAGCTTTTTAAGAGCAGGCGCGGGTTTTTCTTTATCCCACTCAGGGCTGGGTACTTTGTAGACGCTGAATGAACACTAGACTGTCCATTTCTTAGCCTAATGTCCTTCCAAACCATGGGAAGAGTCAGCACCTGCCCTTTATTGTGGCAAATCTGTTCTCCCATGTTCTGCCTGGTAATGAACTCCTCAGTGGCTTCAGAAACTCTGCCTTAAGAAATTGACTACATGGAGACTTAAAATGACCACTGAAAGCCCGATCAGGGCTCTAGAAATTCCCCAGTAGGGTAGGGGGGTTAGAAGTGGTTTGAGTAGGAGCCCAGCTCTACCCAAGTCACAGCCTGTGGGGACATAAGCCCACCAACTGGCAGAGAAAGATGGTGAGCAAAGGCCTATTTTATCCAATGGTGGTCCTAAAATGCAGATTTTCTAAGATTTGGTGGCAACACAAGCTGTATTTTTGTCCTAGAATGTAAGATAAAGTAGTCACCACAAGGTGGTAAGTAGGGGTGGGGAAAAAAGAAAAAACCACTTTTGCCTGCCTTCTGGGCTGACATTTGGACTGTGATTTTCTATCTACTGACATGCATGAGGAGCCCTGGTGGCTCAGTGGTTAAGAGTTCAGCTGCTAACCAAAAGATCAGCAGTTTGAATCCACCAGCTGCTCCTTGGAAATCCTATGAGGCAGTTCTATTCTGTCCTATAGGGTCGCTATGAGTCGGAATCGACTCAACGGCAACAGGTTTGGTTTGGGTTTTAGACACGTGTGACCACAAGGTGGTGGCAGGAGAAACCCAAATTCAGAGGAAGGGTCACCTGATTCCTGGGAGCACCATGCCTGTTTCACTGCTGATGGCAGAGGAAAAACCATGGGCCCTGGGGAGACAAGTCCCTGGATTTGAATTGCAGCTTTGTCCCTCTTTGGATGAGGCTGGGCATGTAACTTCACTCTGTGTACCTCAAGGTCCTCACTTCCCAAACAGGGTGCCCTATCCACTTCACAGGATTGTTGTGAGGACTAAAGGAGGGGGTATTCCAGCAGCGGGGACCTGCCCGGTGCTTGGCATGGAGTTATGATGGCCTGGACATTTTCCATGGCCAGAACTCCAGGGTTTTCCATCTACTCCGCCGATGGCTCACGGAAAAGTGGCTGCAGTCCTGGATGGTGTAAACAGATGCCCCAGGCAGGAGAGCTAGAAAGAGCCACTCGCCATCAACAGCTACCTACTTCCACGTGCCTGGGGCAGCACCCACCACTGTGTCGAATGGAGCTGGACACAGAGTCCTCAGGCCATAGATCAGGCCTGAAGAAAGGACAGTGAGCAGAAAGGAATGTGACTTCAACACCTATAGTTCATGTCTGAATATTAGCAAAAAAAAAGTAAATTCCTTCATATGCAGGACAACTTTCTGCTCAAAGCCAGCCCATTCCTACCCAACTGACCCCTGGGAAGAGAGAATGCGGCGAAAGAAAAACTCCTTTAGTGGAGTCACAGCTCTTCACAGCCAGGGATGGAGGTGCACACATCTGGTCTACCCAGCGCCTAGCACATAGTAGGCCCTCATGAAAGACCTGCAAAATAGGAAAACAAATCAGGAAAAAAAAAAAAAAAAATGAGACCTTTGCGCTTTGGAATGAAGCCAAGTCCTAAAGAACAGCTTCACAAAAGCTATTTAAAGTAAAGTGGATTAAAAACTCAGGAAAACGTGCTGTGGAGCCTTGTCCCAAGTCAGGGCATCAGGAGAGACCTTGAAGACGTGGGCGGTCTTCCCCCAGCTTCCTTTCTTACTCCAAAGTTCTGGGCAAGAGGAACCTCAGGGCGCTGCCCCAAGATTTGCTGGGAGATGGGATTTGTAGGCCAAATGGAGGAAAGGAATAAAGATGCTACTGTGGATCCGTGGAAAATCTTTCTCCTCCAGAAGCATACTGAGCCCCCGTGGCAGCAGGGGGCGCAAAAGAGGACCCACTGCGCAGAAATCTTTGGCACTGCAGGCAGACAGTACGTGTCCCCAGAAAAGCTGGCCGGCTGGCTCCAAAAGCATCGCTCTGATGGACACTCGCAGAGATCTCTGAGGCAGCACAGGGCTGTCCCCTCTTCTCCTACAGGGCGGGGGAAGGGCAGAGGGAGGGGGCTTCTGCTCTCACCCCAGGTAGCCTGGTCCACAGGCTGGGAGCCAGAAATCCCGGGTCCTCATTCTAGTTCTGCTATGGCTTAGCTGCGCCTCAATGTGCCTCAGCCACATCTGTCAAGATGGGAGTTAAGGGCTGCCCGGGGATCCTCTTAGTGAGTAAAAGACGGGGAGTGCATGAAAAAAGAAAAAGGTACTCTACAAACACCAGAGAAGGAAGTAGCGGCAGGGAGGGACAGGTGTCCGCCTGGCCCCTGGGTCCCTGTCTCCTGATGACACTACTGCTTGCTTTGCTCAGTTTGATGCAGATGCAGCTGTCTGTACCTGAGTTATCAGGGCCCCACGAGGCTGGCAGAGGAGACCCATTTAGCCCTCCTTGCTCTAGATCTATCCCCCAGGGGTGGACCTGCACAGAAGCAGGGCACAGGGCTCTGTGCCAACCACCAGGATGGTCCTGGCAGCCCCTGCCATGAAGGAGCAGTGTCCAGAGTCCAGGGTGGCCTTCAGTGATGCACTGCAGCAAGTTGAAGGGATGGTGGGTGTGGAAACAGTCACAAATGCCCCCTCACCGACACAAGGAAGCCACTTGGCCACCGTGCTCTTGGTGCCCAGCAGCTTCTATCTTTCCCCTGCCTGGTTTGCCTTTTCCAGGGGGAGGAGCACAGGCAGCGAAGTCAGGGAGACCTGGGTTCAAATGCCCTCTCCTCCCCTTGCCAGCTAGTGTGCTCATAAGCACGCTGTGTCCGAGCTGCCTCATCTATAAAATGGGTATACTACTACATTAAACCATGATTGTAAAGTGCCAAGCAGTGTTTGGCACGTACTAGCTACTCTGCAAAGGGGCGCTCACGGGGGCATGGCTTGCAAATGGCCCCCTTATTCAAACAAATGTTGAGATTCTTGCTCTAGGTAGACAAAAGCGAAATGCCCCACAGGGGGAGATTCTTATTTAAAAGCCCTGGGATGGGCCTGGACTTGCAGCAGGAATGTGAGGTGTGCTGAGTGGTGGAACCATCCCTCTAAGACTCAAAATGGTCCCAAGAAAAGCCTAGTGGCCACTCCTGGGGAAGCCGCCTCTGCCACACCTCAGAGGCCTCGGGGAAGAGGACACTTTCCCTGGGATTGGCAATGGTGCCGTCTTCTACAGGACAAAGTGCTTTTGTGGTACCAGGCCTTTTGGAAATGGAGTGAATAAAGTCACTGGGTTTTTAGAGACACGGAGAAGTTAGAGCAAGTGGTCATGGGTTGGGTGGGTGCCAGGGAGTGCTGCCCCTTACTAAGCCTCATCTGAGTAATGAGAGACCCTCTCTGGAGTTTGTCCTGATGGTAGGCTCTGGTCCTGGCGGGGGCGGGGTGGTCTTAGAGTCACATCCCTGCCCCTGGGAGGGCAGGGAAGCTAGGTGGCAAGGTCCTGCACTGGGAGCAGGAGTTCTCTTAAGGCTGGGATGCTGATGTGGATAGAAAGCAACGGGCGCCGCCGAGCCTCCAGGTGATGCTGCAGTGGGAGGGATCTGAACCCATTCTCCAAGGTCTCCGTGACTCTCTCTCCATGAAGAATACCCACCATCCACATGGGAAGAAGGGAAGAAACCCGAGTCCACCTGCCTTTGAAGCTGCGTGGAGGATGATAAATTAAAAGGCATCTTAAATACGTGGGTAAAGCCAGCAGGGGCTAAGAGGACCTCCGGGCAGGGAGGAGGTGTCTATGGCTTCTTTCTTAGATAGTTGGAAGGAATCCACCCTTCCCAGGAAGGGCCCCCGCTCAGGACCTGGCAGAACCACCAGCCGCTGCTGTTCTTTTCTTGGACTTCGAACACAGTCCCTTCCTGGAAGCTGCTGGTATCTTCGTCGCCGTCAAAGTTGGCCACAGCCACATACAACGAGTCCTTCGGGACATCGGTGCTGGGGAAAGTGGATGCAGCTACTTTCTCCCTGCTTTCTCCGATCCTGCTCACCATCCGCGGCCCTGACACGCCTTTGCCTCTCACATCATCTTGGCCTCCCGAGGAGTTGGAGAGAAAAGGCCTGGCTTTTGGAGGGACGAGCAGAGCCCGGCCGGGGACAGCAGCTGCCTTGCTTTCACTGGCCTCACGCTGCGGTCCTTTGACCTCTGGGAGGGGCCTGGGTGACGAGGAGGCTTTCTTGGGTGGTGGTGGTCTCCGGGGCGGGACCATAGGCCTCTGCTGGGGGGCCTCCTGGAGAGGGGTGGGGACACTCTTAAGCACAGGCTCTCCTGTCTTGGCTGGCCGGGGAGGGGCCCTGGAGGCCATCTCCTTCGGGCCCAGCCCATCCTGTCTGCCCGTCCTCTCCTGGGTGCGGCCGGGACCCTCCCCTGGGAGGAAACTGCGGCTGAAGGGCAGATCTGGGCCCCCCACAGCCTGGTGGCTCTCCCCATCTAATGAGGCTTTCTCTTGGGACTTGGCAGGCCTGAGCTTACTCCTGAGGTTACAGATGTCCACTTGGTCTTCACCCTGAGGTGGCTCTGTCCTGGGGGAAGGAGCTGGTTTTGGCCTAACCTGAGGTTTGGACTTCAAGAAGGGGTTCTGGGGAACGGCTTCTGGCTTCTCCTCTGGTGGGTCGGCTTTGGCCTTGGAGATGGGCCGGAGGTTGGGCTTCTTCACTTCCTTGGCTAACACCTTGTGGCCACACTCCAGCCCCATCTCATTTTTCAGCTGGAACAATTTGCTTTTGTCAGGTTTGGGCTCTGGCCTCCTGCTGTCTCGGGCTAGGGGGGCATGCTTGGCTGGGATCATGGGCAAGATCATGCCGGGGGGCTTGGGTGAAGAGCCCCGGAGCTGCTCCAGCCTCTGCCGCTCCCTCTCCTGCAGCTCCCCTTCAGACTTGATGATGGACTCTTTCCGGGGAGGGAGGCTGGGCTTCTCCTCCAGGTCAGGGTCTGAGATCTCCTCGTAGCCTGCAGATGCAGACATGTCTGCAGATGCCTTCCTCAGGACCTCCTTGCTGCCCTTCCAGTCCTTGGACCATGGCATCCCACAGTCCACACCGCTATGCGGTGCCTCAGGCAGGGGCCGGGAGGGGCCCACAGCTTCACTGCCTGTGCTGTTCTCCATTGCTGCTGCGTTCCCAAGCTGGAGCTGGGTCACCTCACTGGGCAGGGGAGCCAGAAAGTTGGGTCTTGAGGCGTTGCTGGTTTTCTTGTACTTATCAATGAAGGTGGCTGGGGCCCATCCTTCCTTATCTTCAATCTGAATATACCACCAGCCACTCAAGTTCTTCTCGATCACCTGCAAGGGATGACAGAGGGAAGCACTTAGCAGGTGTGATGCCAGGGCCACTGGACTAGAACGGAGTGGGGGAACCAAGTGGGGCTGGAGTTCAACATCTGTGGAGACCATCTATGGAGACTTTACTGTGTATCAGGGCAATCTTGCACAGGAGCAGATTCTTGTCTTATTCTGGATTCTCTCTGCAATGCTTAATTTTATATGTCAGCTTTGCTAAGCTATGGTACCCAGTTATTTTGCCAAACACTAGTCCAGTTGCTATTATGATTAAATCAGTTGGCCTTAAGTAAAGCAGATTACCCTTCATAATGTGGGTGGGCCTCAATAATCAGCTGAAGGCCTTAAGAGTGAAAGGCGAGTTTGCCTAGGATGTGTTCTACTTCCAGGCAATAAATGCATATTTGGCAGAACTCTGTATTTTTAATGCTGCCTGACCTACGGATTTTGGATTGCCCAAAAAACCAAACCAAACCTGTTGCCGTTGAGTTGATTCCGACTCATAGCGACCCTGTAAGACAGAGTAGAGCTGCCCCATAGGGTTTCCAAGGAGCGGCTGGATTCGAACTGCTGACCTTTGTGTTAGCAGCTGAGCTCTTAACCACTGCACCACCAGGGCTAGCCCTTCACAACTGCATGAATCAATTCCTTGAAGTAAATACTCTCTCTATATATATCTCACTGGTTCTGTTTCTCTGGAGAACCCTAAGAAACTCCTAAAAGCAGGCCTGATCCCAGGAAGTACAAGTGAGGAAGTGGGGAAAATGAGAAGGGAAGGTGAGAAACCAATGAAGTGTGTGTTACTGAGCAGATCACTGCTCTGGGCCACTGGGGCTTAACTGCCAGGGGCCCGCTGAGAGACCACGTGAACCATGCCTCAGAATCATCCCACAGGAGGCAGGGAATACTGACTCTAAGCCCCCAGAGGCTGGGGGTCACCCCCACTCTCTCAGCATTAACTTCCCTCCCCTTTGGACTGTGCCCTTGCAGGCAGAGAGGAGAGAGGTGGGAAGCTGTCAGCTTGTGAGGACTTGGCGCAGCTACAGGTCAACTCAGGTGGGGTGGGACGTGGGGCAGAGTGCCAGCAATGTCCACCACAATCCTAAAGAAGTACAAGGCAAAGACCCATGATCAAAACACCCTTGACTGCTGCTGCTTTGGTTGAGCACCAGAGGAAGCAGCTGGCTGGTGTTAAGAAACCATGTGGTATAAAAAAAACAGATCTTTAAACTTGGGACTCACACTTGGCTTGACAACGTGCTCAAGTGTAGATACAGGGAACCAAGGCTGATGGAGGGAAAGCAGATTTTCATCTCTCATCTCTCTCTGGGATACACACTTACTGGATGGAATGGTAGGCACTGTCCTCCATGTTATTTAAGATTTTATATTTCCTCTTTTTTGTCCAGAACTATATGGTTGAATTCATGTGGGCTAACACTGCATATGTTCAATTTCCCGGGGCAGGCTGTATCCGTTTGAGATCTGATTAGTGCTCACAACCACCCTGTGAGATGGGCATTATTATCCCATTTTATAAATGCAGAAACCGAGCCTCAGGGGAGTTGAGGATCTCAAAGTCACGAAGAGAGTGAGTGGTAGAAAAAACCAACTGATGTCAAGTTGACTCTGACTCAAGGTAACGCCATGTGTGTCAGAGAGCTGTGTGGGTTTTTAGTAGCTGGTTTTTCAGAAGTAGATCACCAGGACTTTCTTCCATGGCTCTTCAGGGTGGACTCGAACTGCCAACCTTTTGGTTCACAGCTGGGTACAATAACGTTTGCACTACCCAGGGACTCAAATGCAGGCCAGTGGGCTCTAAAGCCTGAGCTTTTACCACTACCCAACCCTGCCTCTCTGAAAGGGGATGCTGCTTTGGAAGGGGCCATTCCTGGGGTAAGAAGCATACAAGGGGCAAAGAGGGCTGAGGGCATGGCTCTGCTGGTGCACTGAGGCCCAGCATGGAGGGAGATGGCGGCCACAGATCCAGCAGCAGGAGGCAGAAGCTGGGCTCTGAGGCCTGAAGTCCTGGGTTCTAATTTTGGCTCCACCACTTACTGCCTCCACAGTCTTGGGCAAATCACTTAAGCCACCATGCCTCAGGCCCCACACTACAAAACAGGGATGATCATAAGAATGATAACACCCATTTGCAGTATTCTTAAGATGACCAAATGAGCTACTGTATGCAACAGCACTTGGTAAACTCTGAAAGGTAAATGTTACCTATTATTAAATTATGGTATAGACCACTGAGAAGGCAGGCTGCACTTCAGAGGCATGCATTTAATGAGTCTCCCCAGTTGCTCTCCAGGAAAGCATACTGATAAATGTAAGTACTTTACCTGAGGGTGACCGGCATCTTAACATGCAGTAGCTCTGATAACAACCAATGGTGACTCTGGGCATACAAGTCATAGGCAGTGCACCCAAGAATCGAGATTTAACAACTAGTACCAAGAACATATATGAAGAAATCAAAACAAGACAGTAATCAAAATAAAATGGTATCATTGAGTCTTGCCAAGCTCTCACTATAGGCAAAGCACTACGGTAGAAGCTCCAACACTTTGTGTTCTTAGTTAGGACTTATGGGAGTTTTAGTTCACCACAGAAAAGTCAAGAGCTACCACGAATAAAAGCAAAGGCAAAGACAGTCTGAGTTAACAGTGGTGAGACAATATGGGCAGAGACGGTGACACAGTGTGAAGTATGTAACCATTGTCATTAAACTGTATACGTAAAAACTGTTGAATAGATTTTTTTTTTTGGTATGTATTTCCACCAAAAAAAAAAAAAAAAAAAAAAAGCAAAGACAAGAATGAGGAGGTAAAAGAAAAGAGACTGGGCTTTAAAACCAGAGAGACCCAGGTTCAAATCTTAGCTCTCACTTACTACCTATGTAACCTGGGGCAATTCACCTAACTTCTCTCAGTGTCAGGTATCTCATCTGTAAAATAGGCTGATGATATTGAACTCCTGAGAGTGCTCTGGAGATTAGCTAGCAAGTATGTAAGGTACCTGGCACCTCGGAGATGCCTATCTTATCATTAGTATCATCATCTTCGGTAAAACATGTCTTGAAAATACAAAGACCAGGCAAGGAACTAAGATGCTCCTGGTAGCTCCAGCACTAGAATGTTGTGGTTCCATTAATGAAATCTGTAGGCTAAGATGATGTTAAAATGAACCAGGAAGCAAAACTGGAGAAGAGGGGAACAGAGAATACAGTATTTATCTTAAGAACACTTAGTTAAGCTGGAAATTTTGTTGTTGTTATTCTTACTGCCACTGAGTCAACTCCAATTCATATGACCCCATATACAATAGAAATGAAACACTGCCCTGTTCTATGCCATCCCCACAATTGTTGGTATGCTTGAGTCCATAGCTGTGGCCACTGTGTATTCTGAGTGCCCTCCAACCTAGGAGGCTCATCTCCCAGCACTATATCAGACAATATTCTGTTGTGATCCATAGGGTTTTCACTGGCTAATTTTTAGAAGTAGATCACCAGGCCTTTCTTCCTACTCTTAGTCTGGAAGCTCTGCTGAACCCTATCTATCATGGGTGACCCTGCTGGTATATGAAATACCAGTGGCATAGCTTACAGCATCATAGCAACATGCAAACCGCCACAATATGACAAACTTTAGCAGCAACTATCTCCATCCAAGTCTCTCAGGTTACCACTGGCAGAACCTATGCTGACAGCACGAAACAATAAAGCAGAGATGTTTCGAAGATAGGTCCTATCTGTGCTTCCTGGAAAAGGACATTGGGTATGTGAGCTTTTCATTGGATTGGCTTTAGCAAAAATAGAGAGGATAAAGGCTGGAAACAAAAATAGGAAATGGCTGAAATGGGGGTGGGGCCTGAGGGGATTCCTCAGCACCTCCAGGAAACCTGGGGATCCCTGAGGTCCCCACTGTACAGGGGTGCCATCAGGCCTCACGTCAGTACATTCTCCATGACACTCACCCTGAGCCACCCTTGGCAGATTTATGAACATTCTAAGCCAAGGAGCAGGAGTGCTTATCAGCACACATTCAGTTTTGTCAGCATGTTCAAACAACAGTGAATGTTTGTACAAAATGCTGGAAACTCAAAGACTATATCTTAAGGAGAAGGTTCTATAACATTTCTTAGCTCTCTAGGAAAGAAACCCCTTAACAGCATGCAAGTTAGACTTCTGGTTTCAAGATGAGAGATGGTGCAAAAAGTAGTTTCCCCTTCATTCAATAAACCCAGGAAAAGAAATAAAACAATACAAAGCCAGGCTCAGAAAGATGAAGCGGAGAAGTTAGCGGACCAGAAATTGTGAGGAATCACTGATGGATGGAAGCTGCAGAGGAAACATGTGGCCCTGCACTGCTGTTGGTATTTTCTGCTGTAAAAGGTGAGAGCAGTACTGGGGCCTGCCAGACTTCAAGGTGGTAGAACCTGGGAATAGGGGAGGCCCAGGAGCAACTGACAAAGGATTAACTGGAATGCTACAGAAGCAGCCAGCTGGTTAATGCCTATCTATGCCCTTTATTCCAATCTTGTAGGGCAAGCAGGAGTAAAGAAGGCGACTGCTTACAGATGGAAACTGTCAATGTGGGAGCTTGAGTCGGAGAGATGTGATATTGCTCAGTGGCTTAAAAGTCCCCAATTTGGTACTGAAACCAGTGGAAGCTGACCAGCTCAGCTCCTTATGTACACCCGCCAACTGGGCTGATTGACTGCTGCCTCTTTTTGCATCGTCCAAGATAAGTACTAACACTACGAAAATAACTGAAATACCAACACCACTGAAAAGAATTTACAACTGAGAAAAGAAACAATAAACAATAGAGCCTTAAATAAAACATATATTATATCCTTAGAGAGATAAAGAAGAACATCAAATTCATGAAAGAACAAACTATTATGAAATAAGAACAGGTAGCTATGAAAAAAGAATCAATACAGGCTTTTGGAAATAAAAATGATTATTTCTGAAATAAAGTAACCAACAGGCTAAATCGCTACAGAGCAAATTAATGAGCTAGAGGATTAAACAGAATTCCCCAAGAATGCAACACAAAGTATAAAGGTAGAAAATATGAAAGAAAAGTTAAGACACAGGGAGAACAGAGCCAGAAATTCCCGTATCTGTCTAATAACAGTTCCAGAAGGAAAGAATAAAAAGAGTGAAGGGAGTCAATATTTAAAGAAGTGAAGAATTTTCTAGGAAGATCTGAAACCTTAGACTGAAAAGGTCCACAACATGCTGAGCAAGATAAAAATAAACAAACTCATGCCTAGACATACTTAAGTGAAATTTCAATAACAAATAATGAGGAACTTAGGAGAGAATCAGAGAAATAACAGATGAATAGAAGAAAGAATCAGGTTGACAGTAATTTCTCACTAGCAACACTAGATGTAAGAGAACGGAACTACATATTCAAAGTGCTGAGGGAAAAGTACATTGACCTGGAATTCAATACTCAATCACTGAAGAATGAGAAAAAAAAAATTCTTATATTTTGAAGAAAGCATTATATACAGAAATGGGGCCTGCTCTTTAGTTAAGGGCTGATATATGTGGCCCTACAGAAGCTGACAGTGTGTAGGGAAGGGAAACCAATGAAAGTTGGATGAATCAGGGGAGGCTTCACAGAGGAGGGCAGGGACATGAAGAGTGAGTTGGATTTTGATATACCAAGTTCAGTTTAAAAAAATGGCCTTGAGTGCCTTCTATGAAAAGCAGGTAGAAGATCAGGAGCTGGCCTGAAGGAATGTCATTGCTGGCAGAGAGCACAAGAGAAGGGGGAAGGGCCAGCTTGACCAGAGAGGTTCAGAAGAAAGCCATGGGTAACAAGGCTTAGAACAATCCTTGATCATGGAGAGATGTCACGAAGCAAGCAGGCATGTCATATCAGAATGGCATGTATGTTTTACATCAGCTAAATGGGGTAACTGGATATAGAATTACCTTGTAGCACAAGCAAGATGCTTTTTGAGTTCTTTCTATGGATCTGAAGTTGGAAAGAGAATGGCATAGAAAAGAGAGAGAGTAAAGTAGCAAATAAAGAGCTTCTTAGAATCTTGGAGGTATTTCTACTTTCCCCTCAGTTTCTGTATCAATTAGGATTTGCATTTTATAAAAATTTGAAAGTCAGTCCATTTCTTTAAACACCCCCGCAGACAGTCCTCCTTCAATGGGTAGCTGAGGACGTTTGGCTTGAGAAGAAATTTCTGGAGAGGGCTAGGCAGAACCAGTGGTTCTGCACTGTTGGGAAGCCACCCTCTCCTGAGCTCACTGGGCAGCTGCCCTGGGACTGGAAGGGAAGGGGCAGAGAGGCAGGAAGTGAGAGCTGGAGGGAAAACTGTGGCTGCTTTGGAGGCCTGGAGAGTGATTAAAGACTGTCAGGAAATGTGCCACACTCATGCACTGACTAAACCATTTGTTCACTCAGTATTTCCTCCGTCCATCCATATATCTGTTCATAAAGGAACTGTTTACTGAGCACCTACTATGGACTGCCTCCTATGCTAGGGCTACAGGCAAGAAAGAACAACCCCGCCTTGAGTGTTAAGCAGGATGCTAATGGTTAGACAATTATTTTCATTCAACAACAAACATTTATTGCAAACCTATTATGTGCAAGGCACTGTGGTAGCTGCTGGGGACAAAGGAGTGAAAAACAGACATGGTCCCCGCCCTCTTAAAGTTTCCAAATGTCAGGCAGATTAAGTAACAACAGGCTGTCAAACTCCTTGGTTCTATCAGTTTTTAGCTGTGGGACTCTGGACACTGTCTGAACTTTTCTGAACCACAGCTTACTCATCTGAAAAATGGGGATAATAATAGTCTAACCACACAAGTTATCATGGACTGAATTGTGTCTTGCAGAAATTGTGATCTGATATAATTGTCCTATGTGTTGGACTTAGAGAAGTTTTAGGTTTACAGAAAAATCTCCCAGAAAGTACAGAGTTCGCATATACTCCCTCTCCCCACCACACACAGTTCCCTCTATTATTAACATCTTGTATTTGTGTGGTACATTTATTATAATTGATGAACCAATATTGATACACTATTATTAACTAAAGTTCACCATTTACATTTACATTAGGGTTCACTCTTTGTGTTGTACAGTCCTATGAGTTCTGACAAATGCATAGTATCATGTGTCCACCATTACAGTATCCTTCAGAGCTCATGCGTTTTTTTTCTTCCCGAGTAGACTTGATGGCAACTGGTTTTTGGTTTTATTTTATAATGATTCAGTGAATAAAAACACAAGGCATTTCTCTACAGGAGAAAGGAAATTGATCAGAAAAAAGGGAAGTAATCATTGTCCATTCATAGGGCTCATCTGTTTCTGAAAACTGTGTCAACACCATCTTTGGCGTCTTGGCCAAAGGTTTATAATCACTGACCCTTGCTGTTATCTCATTTCCTGGAGGCATGGGAAACACCTTAAAGCCCTAACCCCACGATGAGAAAAAAAGAGAAGTGAAAGAAGAGAAAGGATTTATGTTGGCCTTTATTCAGTGAACACAGTAGATAAGCAGAAAGAGTAGGAGGAAAAGGAGAGAGGCGAAGCAATGCAAGTAGGAGGTGATTCAAAAAAGAATACAAGTCAGTCACAAAAGCCCACATATTATATGATTCCATTTATATAAAATGTCCCAAACACACAAATCTATAGAGACAGAAAGTAGATTAGTGGTTGCCTAGGGCTGGGAGAATGGGGGATATTGGGGGAGGTGATGATTAAAGGGTACAGGGTTTTTTGGGTATTGAAAATGTTGACTGGTGATGGTTGCACAATACTGTGAATATACTGAAAACCACTGAATTGTACACTTTAAATGGGTGAATTTAATGGTATGTGAATTATATCACATTAAATCCATTAAAAAAAAAAAGAATATGAAGGTAGGAGGCAAGAGGAGGAAAGTAGGAGGTGACGACAGAAGTAGGAGGTAATACTAGAATCAAGAATCAGAAGCAAAGGACACCAGGTCCACTCACCTCGACCTTCAGGCCGGCCTGGAAGCTGATGCCATCAGGGATGGTTGTCTGGAATTCAGCAATGGTGTAATACTCTTCCTCCACTTGGGGTGGGATGGGAGGTTTCGGTAGGTTCAGACCTCGAGGCTGGTAGGATTAAACACAGTGCTAACTCCAGTGTGGGTACATTACCACAACACCGGAGTGGAGGGGACTAGCAGGGCTGGGATGCACGATCGCCCTCAAGGTGAGGCTGCTGATCTATTTGGATTCTAAGGGACAAAACAAAGGAACACTCACACTGTCATCTCCTCAATGAGTCACTGGCCCTTCAGCTTTAGAGCAATGAGAAGAAACACAGGACACTTGGCTACAATCCTGATAAGCTGGTGTAAGATAGTATTCTCTGGATTTAAGAGACAGTGAGAGTCGTGGAAAGAACATGGGTTGGCAAGTCAGACCCGTCTGGGCTGGAAATTCTGATTATCTGTGTGACTTTGGGCAAATCACCTTCCTTCTGAAGTTTCAGTTTTATCTTCTGTAGAATAGGGATAATGCAAGTATTAAATAAGTTAATGCAATGTAGTATATCTAGTAGATTGCATGGCATCCAATAGGTGCCCAGTAAATGACAGACATAAAAAAGGCCCATTTCTCAAAGTACTGGTTAAAAATTTGCCTCAAGAATAAAAAGAACGGAGTATGAAAGTAGAATAACAGAACGGTACCACAAATGCTAAGGACTCTCTATCAACATGGCCTCTCCTAAATCACGTGCTTTTCTATGCAGGAATGAATATGCAAGCTTGGGCCTCAAGTTGCCTCACTGGAGGAGACTGACTAAGACAAAAAGAAGTGGGCACAGGAAGTAGAGAGCATGTCCTGAGGCCTAATAATCACAAATATACTCTGGAACCATGGGAAAATGGTTTAACCTTCATGGAGCTCAGGATTTCCACCAGTCAATGGGACTAGCACTTGTCCAGCCTGCTTCACAAGGACAGAAAGGGTGAGGTGAGCTGAGGGGCCACTGGACATTCTAGCCCTCAGGTCAGCAGCTGGCTCGCTGGAGTCAAGGGTCCACTTACTATGGTCATGTCCCGGCGAGGAGGGGGTCTCTGCCTCATCTTTGGTGATCCTATGGAGAAATGAGACCTTATTTCACTCACGTGCAAAGCTCTACAGATTAAAATCCCCAAGACGGACACCAGGAAAGATGTATTCTCTCCTGCACAAAATTAGGCGTAAAGCACCGGAGTTAGCTTGCTGCTGTCACCCTTCCTGGAAGAAGAGCCCAATTAGGAAGTTGCTGCTCATGCTTGGGTCAGGACCCTCTATCAATGTGCCCTTTCCTAAATCACAGGCTCTTCTGTGCAGCAATGAATAGGAAGAAGATGGTGCTGGGCACACGGCAACCCTATAGGACAGAGTAGAACTGCTCCATATGGTTTCCAAGGAACAGCCAGTGGATTTGAGCTGCTGACCTTTTGGTTAGCAGCCAACTCTTAACCACTGTGCCACCAGGGCTCTGGAAAACTTTCCAGCAATGGCAGAAAGTGTAGGCTTAAGAATAACAGAGATGAGGGCTCCTATCCTGGCTCTGAAGCTCGCTGGCTACCAGCTTTGGACAAGTTATTTGACCTTCTGAGCTACAAGGTCCTCATCTGTAAAACAGGGATAGCACATGCCTCCCAGGGGCAGTGGTTGGAGATTAAAATAAACAACCCATGTGAAGCTCTTGGCACATGGCATACATGCAATAAATGTTGCTGCCCTTGGTTTTGCCTCTACAGCAAACCCAAATTAAACAAGACCAAAACAAACAGACTCAACCAACTTGGGCTGATGACTTCAGCCCACACTATCTCTGGGTCTTACGGTCAGGAACAGGATTTTTCAGTGGTTCAAGGCTCTGGGCTGAAGTCACCCGATGTGTCAGCAGAGCTGATTTTGTATACGTGTCCATACAGAGGAGAAGTTTGGGATTTGGGATGCGGAGGAGACTGCTAATCCCTCAGGTACTCACTTGCCCTATCTTCAAATAGCAAAAGAGTTTTAGCCAGACACTTAGCTACCTATAATAAAGATGACATTTCCCAGACTCCCTTGCAGCTAGGTATGGTCATATGACTAAGTTCTGGCCAATGGGTAACTTCCACTCTGCTTTCCCCTCCCACCTCTTCTCCTTCTTCCTTTTTATCAGCTGGAATAGTGGTGGGCCATCCTGGACCAGGTGGACGAGGGCAGCGTACTCTGGGGACGTCCGCCTAACAAGACAGAAGGAGCATAACAAGACTCCTGACTGCATGGAGCTGCCACACCAGCCCTGGACATATACCGGGACTCTTTCATGAAAAAGAATAAACATCTAAATCATTTAGGCTACTGTTACCAGGTGTGTTTATGAATCTTTGTTATTGCATTGGAACCTATATCATAAAAAGACACAAGGTTTCTAAGTTTCATTTGCTCCTCTAGTCTTAACAGGAATCCTCCCATGCTCTTGGCCATGACAGATTAGAATCACAGAAACTCAGGGCTGCCCGGAACCCCTGCCACAGCGCATCAGACAACATGGGCAGTGTTTTCTCAGGGCAGCTGGACAGAAAGTATGAGTCTTGGAATTCAACAACTTGGAACTCGAAGAGTTTATTGACTATAAGAGGCACTTGGCAAAAACATTTGGAAGAACCCCAGTCAGAGGTAAGTGCTGTCACTCCTGCAGGGAGCTGGAAGCCCTTTCCCAACAGACAGAGTCCCTCACCTGCATGATGAGGACCGGATCATGGTACTGGGTTTGAGGAGTCCTGGGTATGATGCAGGCAAAAATGAACCCTACTCTCAGGTGTATGGGGATGCTTTGAGAAAAGCAAGATGGATAAAGTAGTATCATTAGGGTAAATTCAACTTTTTCTTCCTTTGGCTGAGAAATGAGGCAGTGTGGTGGAGCAGAGGGAGAACAGGCTCTGAAGTCAGACAGGCTTGGGTCCAAGTCCTGGCTCCCCTGTTTACTAGCTAGGCGGCCTTGGACAAATTTTGTTTCATCTCTGTTTCCTAATCTGTAAAACGAAGCTACTATGTTCCTCAAGGTTGCTGTGAGGAGTCCATGACACTAAATGTAATTATAAGGTGCCTGCACATAGTAGGTGCTTGAAAACAGGAGCTGTGGTGATCATCATGAGGAAGT